GCACACAGTATAAAGATTGTTTCTACTCCTTCTGCAGAGAATATTTTGCCCTGTAATACGTGAACAAGTTGACTGATTTATTCTGACATAGTCCTCTTGCTGCAGCCAGGTTTCTGTGAGACATCAAACAATTAAATTATTACAAATTACAAAACTATTTGTGGAGGGAGATCTTATGTTCATTAAACAGCTTTCTGTTCATTTTTGCTGAATTGGAGAGATAATTTTTATGTTATGATTTATTCCGTCTTCCTGCTTCCGCTCTGGTCCCTTCAGGTGCTCATGGAGGACCGGCAGACAAACCGGCTGAGCGAGTCCCTCAACATCTTTGAGACCATCGTCAACAACAGGGTCTTCAGCAACGTCTCCATCATCCTGTTCCTCAACAAGACGGACCTCCTGGAGGAGAAGGTGAAGCAGGTTTCTATCAAGGACTATTTCCCCGAGTTCTCGGGCCATCCCAGCAGCCTGGCTGACGTTCAGAGCTTCCTGGTCGAGTGTTTCCGCAGAAAGCGCCGCGACCAGCAGCAGAAGCCGCTCTACCACCACTTCACCACCGCCATCAACACGGAGAACATCCGGCTGGTGTTCCGGGACGTCAAGGACACCATCCTGCACGACAACCTGAAGCAGCTGATGCTGCAGTGAGGGAGCAGACCGGGACCTGAACCCGGACCGGGACTCGGACCTGAACCCGGACCTGGACTCGGACCTGAACCCGGACCTGGAGGAGAACAGGAGCAGGTTTCTCAGTGCCTTCATGCATCCTTCTGCTCCTGTTGAACTAAGACTGTGTATTAAAGTCACCACTACTGCGGCCACGCCCCCCCCACCCTCCGCCTTAACGAGCTCGTTGGCTGTGACTGAGAGCCCCGCCCCCCTTTCATTTGCTCCAGTGTTCCCAGTCTGTGCTGCTCTAACCAGTGTTACTGGGGGGGTTGCTGCCGTTTGCTCCGTCTTCCTTCTCTGATGCAGACACTGGGTGGGTGTGTTCTGATCCGGTTCCTCTGACTCCTCCTCCTCATGCAGCGTGTCCCGCCTTCTCTCAGGGCTCATCATCAACCACTTCGCTGTGATTTGAAGCCAAATGGAGCCCAAAGGTTCTGATCCGATGTGTTTTCTGTGGGTGAACAGACTTCCTGTGCTTGAAAAGCAGAAGTCGCGCCACATTCAGCCCGGGTCCCGTTTAACCGCCCCGATCCAGACCCGAATCCTCCTGTTTCCACCTGCTGACAGCGGCAGGTCAGTTTTGGACTGAAAGGGGTTCTGGTTTCTGTTCTGGACCCAGAGCCAAAGTCCTCAGCCAAGAAGAGAAGGAGAAAGTTTCCTTTTGTGACCCGTTTGTAGGAGAAGCAGCATAGATGGGAGACGGGGAGTTGGAGACCTGAACGTTCCCTCTGATCCAATAGAACCTCTGATCCAATAGAACCTCTGATCCAATAGAACCTCTGATCCAATAGAACCTCTGATCCAATAGAACCTCTGATCCAATAGAACCTCTGATC